TTCAACTCCCAGAGGAACTCTGGGAGTTGAAGTCCACAAGTCTTAAAATTGCCAAGGTTGGACAACCCCTGTCTTAGATGATCAGGGTTTGCCCCAGGCCTGCTTCCCCAGTTTTACTTAAGTCCCTGACATGTTCTAAATCAGCATGTAAAATGCGTTACAGCAAATTGAGGAAGAAGATGGCTTGTTCCTTCTTAGCTCATTGAAGAAAAAAAAATATTTTTTTTTCTTGAAAAGACACCATTTGGGGCACTTTTTAAAGCAATCTTTCGACCTTCCCCCTTGGTTAATACAATTTGATGTGTGACCGTTGCTCAAGCATCATGAGATATTTAAAAATCTTCACTGTTCTTGGGGCATTTCCTAACTTTGTTTTTTTCTCTGTCCGTGTATTGTCAGTATGAGGAAGCAACCAAAAGAACGACCAGCCCCTGAAGAATTAATGGTGAGTCGATCTGGCTCTACAGCTTCCGAGACATAAACCTCCAAAGTTTTATTGATTTATGACGCATGCACGTTTGTTTATTGTCTTTTCCCCATAAGTTAACTCATATCAAATCTAAACTTTGCTTCCAGCACTGGCATCCAGCAGACACTATTGAGATCTCATGATTTCATTAGCATTGTTAATCGTCTTTAAGAGTGGGATCAGACATGCATTAGCAAAACCTTCTTGGAATTTTCTGGCCATTGGGTCAAAAGAGACTTTCTGTCAAAGAGATTGTTCAGAGTCCTTCCTTAATTTGTTGAATTATGTTTTTTTAAAAAAAAAAATTCCAGATTTGTGTGTGTGTGTGTGTATCAATATTAGCATTTGTGATATCTGGTACTCTATACAAAATACTCTGTATTTTTATTGTGAAATGGGTGGGTGGGACTTCACCTTGCTAAGGTTTCTAAAGAAAAACCCTAATCTCTTCAAGTTTTCTTTGTTAATAACAACATGAAAGATGGACCTGTTTCTTTTTCCTGCTTTCTTTAGAATGAGTATTCATTTATCTATTAATTTTTTTTTTAATGACTATTACATTTCTATGAGACCCAACTTCCAATGATTCTGGGCAGCTCGCGAAAAAATTTTTTTTTAAAAAATGGATACAATCAAAAACAAAATAAGGAATAAAGGCACCAAGATCCTAAAAACCTCAATACCCACTTATAGCTGTACATCATTTATTTGGGTGAGAGGTATTGGATATTTTTTATATATATCAGGGGAAAACAGAGGAAAGCGGATGGCAAGTTCCCATCAAAGTTAAAGAATGATGGCCAGGATCCATAAAATCACACAACTCATGTTACAACCTTTGGGCTGGACCTGTGTTTGTATACCTCACACACTGCTAAGTGTATTTGTGGAACTACTTTGGAATCTAGTGCTGGGCACAGTAATAATTGGGAAAGGAAACTGTTGTTGAACATTTCACTCTATTGATCCCAGCATCTCAGGTGTTACTTTCTCGGTTCTTTCTTCACGCTAGGTGAGACATTTGACCTTGAATCTATTTTTGAAAGCCAGTAATTTCTGTTGATGTTGAAAGAGCATTTAAACAACTCTTGATACACCTAAATGATGTGGGACTTGGTTGTTGTTTTTTCTCTCCACACCACCCGTTCTATTTCTGAGTACTGTTGAAGCTGCCTTGCCTTTCTCTCTCTCTCTTTTTTATTAACTTGGGATGGTTGGAAGGTTCCTGCACTTAGTCACATCTGAGAAAACTTGGAACAGGTTCTAGAGATGGAGATGCATTTACCTTACACAATGTTATTATTCTATGCCTGGGTGGCTTGACTATTAAACCAACAGAATGGGGTTTCATAAAATCCGTAGCTCTTTGTAAATGCATGCTTTCTGTGATGCAATAGGCCTGGCACTTATAAATAAAACATCTGCAGATCGCACTTCACAACGCTCAGTATATATCTGTGTGTGTGTGTGTGTGTGTGTGTGTGTGTGTTCAGAAGCTATAACGCCACTCCAGGGTGTAAAGCCATAAAGAGGGAGGCCAAGGGGTGAGTGCCGATAGGAACTGAGACGCAGAGTTATATATCTTTCCAACTACCTGCCCTGAAGTGCTCGGTTCAACTCATAAGGCAGTATCTTTCCCCCTTTAATAATTAAAAAAAAACATGACAGCTTCAAAAAGAGAGAGTTGGGCTTCTTTTAAGATTTAGTACTTTCTCTCCGGCTGCTTTTTTTCTCCTTTGAAAGCGGCCTTCTAAAAACAGCTGCTTAGCCAGCAAGGTTGGCCCTTCGGTACTGACCAGATCTCCACGAAGGGCAGCTTGGCTGAGGTCTTCTTCGTTTATGGATCTGTGAGTGATCTTGCTTGGCTACACCTGCCGTTGGCTTCCTGGACAAAGAATGGTAGATTGATTTTTCCGGATTCATCCTGGTTTGCTCCTGGTTTTTGCTTACAGTGCAGAATTGGCTGGCGACACTGTTCTGGTGAATGACCGTGACAATTTACAACAGTTATTTTAAGCCCCACCGGTGTTATTGGAAGGATATTTTTTAATGGCCAAAATTCCTGAGAAGGTGGCATTCTCACCTACAGTTCCACAAAGTCTTGAAAGATTTCAGAGAGAATTTCTTTTTAATCAGGGAAGGGGGAAGGAGCTGGAAAGATGACCATTTACACAGCAGCAGTTACTCTTCTAGCCCAGAGGTCTCCAGACTTGGCAACTTTAAGACTTGTGGACTTCAATTCCCAGAATTCCTCAGCCAGCATAGAGGAATTCTGGGAGTTGAAGTCCACAAGTCTTAAAGTTGCCAAATTTGAGGACTCCTGTAATCTTGTTTTCCTCAGGTGAAGAAGCCCTGCTGATGTGTTCAAGTAGCATTTTCATCTTAACCGTACAGTTGAACTGCACTCAATTCTCTGTCTTGTTTAAATGCCGTCAGGATGATGGATTTTTAAAAAATATTTTAGCCAGACAACACAAGGCATTGGCCATCTTTTTGGACAGACGCATTGAGTTTTGCCAAGGAGACAGCAAGAGAGAAATGGTTGGGCATAGACCGGTTGGAGCAATGACCAAAAATTAAGCTACTACAGGTAGCTCTTGACTTACAGTCACAATTGGGACCAGAATTTTGGTCACTAAGGGATTTGGTCATTAAGCAAACCATGTAACCCGACCTGATTTTACAGCAATGTTTGCTGTGGTCATTAAGTGAATGCAGCATCCCCAATTGACTTTAGCTGCCAGAAACCACTGAAAAGATCCCAAATTGTGAGTACATGACCGCAAGACTGCAGCCATCATAATTGCAAGCTGGTTGCCAAATGCCTGAATTGCACTCCCCTGACCATGGGGCTGTTGCAACAGTCATGTGAAGATGCGTCAAAAGTCACCTTTTCTGAGGCCGTTGTAACTTTGAACCCCCATTAAATAAATGGTTGCAAATCGAGGAAGTTCCTGGACAAGACCAGCTCTCTAACTGATTCCTTAGCTATAGAATGAGAAAAAAGCTAGAGACTCTTCTGGCTGCATGGTTACTTTAGAATAATACTATAGATCATTTAATCTAATAAACAATGGCAGCAAAGTGAATACAGTGGTTCCTAGGTACTCAACATTAATTGGTTATGGGAGGCTACAAACTGAATGCCAAACAAACCATGTGACTCTTCATTTTGGCCATTAAAATCTTTCTGTCTGTCCTTTTTCCTATGTCATCCACCTTCCGAGTATGGCTGACTTCCTGTCTGCCCTCTGCAGCTGTCACCCTTATCTTCTTGCAATGGACTGAACACTAAAGAAACTACGAGTACTGGGGCAACATTTTTGCATCAAAATGCACCCAGTTCCAAATTTGACGGGTTTCGAATCCGTTGAAGACACAGGTACCATTGCATTGCAGCGTTTCACCTCTCTGTTAGCTAAATCAGGACGTGTGGCTCTACAAATCCAGTTTTTTTCTGTTATTTATCATCATCTTTTCCAACATGTCTGTGGAATGCTGTCCACCAGGACTAAGCCTTGGTGTAAGCAAGACTGGCCCACTGAGAAGGCCTTCCACGGATTTGTTTTCTGTGAGAGCATTAACTCTCAGAGAGAACCTCTCGGCAACATGAATGTAGAGAAAAGTAAAGTCCTACACTTAGGCAAGAAAAGTCAAAGGAACATGTACAAATTAGGTGACACCTGGGTTAACAGAAGTAACTGCGAGAGGGATTTTGGCGTCCTAGTGGACAATCAAAATATGAGCCAGCAGTGTGTTGCAGCAGCCAATGCAATCCTAAATTGCATTAACAGAGAGATAAAATCAAGATCACGCGAGGTACTAGTACTGCTCTGTAAAGCCTTTGTAAGGCCACACCTAGAATACTGCATCCAGGTTTGGTCCCCACACCATAAAAAGGATGTTGAGACTCTAGAAAGAGTGCAGAGAAGAGCAACCAGGATGATGAGAGGACTGGAGACTAAAACATATGAAGAACAGTTGCAGGAACTGGGCCTGGCTAATCTAGTGAAGAGAAGGACCAGGGGAGACGTGATAGCAGTCTTCCAATAGTTGAAGGGCTGCCACAGAGAGGAGGACGGGGTCAAGCTGTTTTCCAAAGCACCTGAAGGCCAGAGAAGGAATAATGGATAGAAACTGATCAAGGAGAGATTTAACCTAGAAATAAGGAGAATTTTCTGACAATGGGAACAATCAACAATGGAACTGCTTGTCTTCAGAAAATGTGGGAGCTTCATCACTGGAGGCTTTGTCAGAAATGCTATAGGGTCTCCTGCTTGAGCAAGGGGCTGGACTAGATGACCTACAAGGTCCCTTCCAACTCTGTTATCCTAATGCAAGGCCCCTCAAAGTCTACTCCAAGCGGTGCTCTATCCCGCTTTTGACTTCCTCTGACGTGCACCTCCCAATCTTGTTTCCATATGGGGATGACGTTGCCACAGCGTCAGCCGAAGCGAGCTTTGAATCGGGGTGCGTCGTCCTCCCTTAGCTCCGTCCTTTGCAGGACCTGACGGCGCCATTCCACCTGAAGATCCTTCATAAACTACCGATCGTTCCAAGAGGGAGCCCATTCCCGCCTGCTTACAAAGGGTTTGAAAAGGCAGGAAGAAGAAGAGGCCTCTTTATCTGTTGGCCGGAGGGACGCAGCGCTGCACGAGAGAGGGCCACGTGTGGGACGCCAGGTCATGCGGCGTTGGCCACCGTTGGTTTTGGCCTCAGTGGCACCATTTTCCCGAAGCTTTCCGTTCCTAAGCTCTATTTAATGGAATCTATGCATAGTAAGTAACCAGGTCAGAGAGAGACAGCCTTCCCCGCTTGAGATCAATCGCTGGCTAATACTTTATCTAGGTCACTTTATTATCTCGTGGCGATGCCGTTCCCATCCACCGCCTCCTTTCGTAAGACACACTTCAGCTGTGGGGAAAGTGTGTTAGCGCATACATATTAAAAACATATACCCATTCTATCTGTATGTA